TATTCTACAATCTCTTTATAAGAATTTAAGCTATTAGGCTGGGTGCGGCGGCTCACGCCTGTAATCCCAGCACTTTGGGAGGCCGAGGTGGGTGGATCACGAGGTCAGGAGATTAAGACTATCCTGGCTAACATGTTGAAATCCCATCTCTACTAAAAATACAAAAAATCAGCCGGGTGTGGTGGCAGGCGCCTGTAATCCCAGTTACTTGGGAGGCTGGGGCAGGAGAATGGCATGAGCACAGAAGGCGGAGCTTGCAGTGAGCCGAGATCGCACCACTGCACTCCAGCCTGGGTGACACAGTGAGACTCCATCTCAAAAAAAAAAAAAAAAAAAAAAAAAATTTAAGCTATTAAGGGCATTCACACTTTAAAAATCCACAAGCAATTAGCAGGGCTCTGTTTTCCCTGTTTTGAACTATCTAAACAGCAGCATCACATGGAACAGAAGAAAATGATCTACTGACAATACTTTCCCCATGTGCACCAGGCAACAAATGCAACTAATCACAGAGAGAAGAAAACCTCCCCTGTGGTCCTTGCTTATTATCTCTGTTTCCAAAGAGCTTTTGCTCAAAGGAAAGAAAACACTGAACTAGAGTCAGTTGATTCGTACATGATAAGGCTGATTATGTTGGAGGCATGACAGAACTTTTGCAAAATAGGCATATAGAATGAAGGAAGATGTAGAGATCAGTCAGCACGGGGGCTGAAAATACTAACTCAACTATGAGGTAGAAAGAAAGAGATAGCCATCCAATAACAATGTTCAATGGACATGGTGAAGGAGACCTTGTTCAGGTAGACCACTGATATAAAGTATCAGAAACATAAGAAGTGTTCAAGAAATAACAGTAATGATGACAGTGAATATTATAAATTACCCAAGTCAGGATGGTCAGCACCTAGGAGTCTTCAGGTAAAAGGAGTTAGAAAAGATATGTGTTGGCATTAGCTGCAGAACATTATCTTGGCCATGTATTAAAAATCAACTTTTTAATGGTAAAAATGGTAAAAATTTTTACAGTTTAAAGGAAGTAAAATAAAAAACTGTGTACAAGTATGTAAAAATAAATATACACAAACTGAAGCAGATTGACCAAAATACTAATGAAGGGAATATGGCTGACTTTTTTCCTTTATGTTATTTATTCTATTATTATTATTTTGTTATTGTTACTACTCAAATGACTAAAATAAACTTTAAAAATTAATTTTTACTAATACCTTTCACTGAAGACACATTTCAAAATCTTAATTGAGACTTAAGAGTTTAAGATAATTTCCTAATATTTTTTCACAAATTTAAACTCAGTGAGGAATGTATTTTTTCACCATGTTAAATTCATTGACATTATTCAGTTTTACTGTTTAAGCATTTATTAAAATCTGTAATTACTTTATTTGCTTACTATCTTTTTCTTATATAATTTCTTTTAGGTTAGGGACCTTGTCTGTCTTCTTTATAGTTATATTGTCTACATGTACCATACTGCCTGGCACATAATAAGTGTTAATAAATATCTGCTGAATTAACAAATGGATGATTTTGGTCATAGAGAGCAAAACCTGGTAAGAAACTAGATAGTCAATTTGCCCTTAGTTTTCTCAGCATAGTTTTTTAAAAAGATGGCCTGCTATATTTTTATGAAATTTTAAATGTCTCACATATAGTTAAGTGCTCCAGAAAATGCATCTTTTTGGAAATGAAAATGATCTTAAATATTACAGCAGGATAGGAACTCATAAGTTTGCTCTGAAGAGAGTGAGAGAGGAAAAAAACTAATATTAACAGAATATAGCTGTGCTTAGCACTCTACTAGGGCTTTACACATGCTGTCTCATATAAATGTCACAACCCTGGAGGCACTGTCCCCATTTTAAAGATTAGTAAAGTGAGAATCAGAGAGGAAGAACTGAGAATCGGAGAGGATGTCACCGGCCCAAAGTCATATAACTAGAAAGTACTAGAATTGGGATTAGAACACCAGTTCTTCCTTAAACCCACTTTATTTCCTGTATCCCATGTTGCCACCACAGAAACCAGAAAAACGAAATACAACTTTTTCAGTAACACCACATTAGGTACACGAAACGATCCAGATAATAACTGCAAAGAAATATTTTGATTACTCAACTTACATCATTTTTAGAAAAAGAAATATATAAGTAAATTACATAAAACATGATTCTGAAGAAACATTTCAATGTATACATTTTCACATCCTCTATACTGCTTAATTTAGAACAAAGAAAATGTTTGGACTTTGAGGCAGTTGTTGGTTTTGAAAAAGGACGTCCAGGCTGGGGACGGTGGCTCACAGTTGTAATCTCAGCACTTCAGGAGTCCGAGGCGGGAGATTACTTGAGCCCAGGAGTTCAAGACCAGCTTGGGGAATATGGCGAAACCCCATGTCTATAAAAAACACAAAAAAGTAGCTGGGCGTGGTGGCACACAGCAGTAATCCCACCTACTTGAGAAGCCGAGGTGGGAGGATTGCTTGAGCCTGGCAGGTTGAGGATGCAGTGAGCTGAGATTGCACCACTGCACTCCAGCCTGGGCACCAGAGCGAGACCCTGTTTCAAACTTAAAATAAACAAATAAATAAATAAAAAGAGAGAGAGAGACAAAGAAAAAGGATGTGCTTCTCGGGAAGGGGAACATCACACACGGGGGCCTGTCGTGGCATGGGGGGACGGGGAGGGATAGCATTAGGAGATATACCTAATGTAAATGACAAGTCAATGGGTACGGCACACCGATATGGCACATGTATACATATGTAACAAACCTTCACGTTGTGCACATGTACCCTAGAACTTAAAGTATAATTAAAAAAAAAAAATAGGCTGGGCGCGGTGGCTCAAGCCTGTAATCCCAGCACTTTGGGAGGCCGAGACGGGTGGATCACGAGGTCAGGAGATCGAGACCATCCTG